AGCACCGTATTATGTGGGTGGACTATTAGGGTTCTTGATGTCCAGAAGGAGAATGAGTGCAGTTTATTTCCTAGCAAGCCTTCTTTAGCTTCTTTTCCCACGTGTGGATGGGTTGGGGTTGGGACTGTTCTTTCCTAGCTCAAAAGTTCACTTATGTCACACTACAGTCACTTTAAAGGAGAGTGCTAGTAAGAGTAAAGTCAAGTTACATAAACTTACGGAAAATGAACCTAAAACCGCTCGTGAGCAAACACAACACTTGAGACGTAAACATTTTCAACAGAAAGGCGGATCTTAGCACTCTGGGTAAAAGCTATCTCAGCCAGTAAAACAGCAGAACGCTTTCACCTACGCGAAGCAAGCACCCTGACCGGTAGCAAGAGCCCGGATAAAGGCGGAGCTAAGCGTGCCGGATAATGCGTCATGGAGCGTGTGTGCGTCACGTCGTAGGGGGCGGGCCGTCCGTGTTTGGTTTCCTGGGCTACCGCCGCCCGCTGGTCCGCTAAAGGTGTGCGGAGTTCTGGAGCCATGGGGACTCCTCCGGGCCTGCAAACCGACTGTGAGGCGTTACTCAGCCGCTTCCAGGAGACGGACAGTGTACGCTTCGAGGACTTCACGGAGCTCTGGAGAAACATGAAGTTCGGGACTATCTTCTGGTGAGTGCTTCTTGCCCACCACTCGCCTCTCTCTGCCCACCGGTGGTGTAGAAAGTTGCCTCCCTCCCGGCGATATTGCCCTTGGGAAGGGCTGAGAAGAGCTGCAGTCTCCAAAGGTTGCCTCCATCACTGCTGGACCTTCCCCTATGCACAGGCCACGCGCTTTCTCCGCTCTATTTCATTGGGCCCTGTTGGCTGTTGCGGCCTCCTCCCAAATATGCGTCTCTACCTGGCCTCCCTTTTAATCTCTCTCGGTCTCCACTGCCTCCACCCTCACCCAGGCCACTGTCATTTGCCCTTCTTCAGTCTTGTTCTAGGACCTCACGTTTAAAAACAAAACACACAAGCAAAGAAAAACCGTTCAAGATTGAATTAATCTTTCCTATAACAACCAAAATTGTCTTTTTTTTTTTTTGAGACGGAGTCTCACTGTCTCCTAGGCTGGAGTGAGGTGGCGCGGTCTTGGCTCACTGCAACCTCCGCCTCCCAGTTTCAAGCGATTCTCCTCCCTCAGCCTCCCGAGTAGCTGGGACTACAGGCGCATGCCACCACGCCTGGCTAATTTTTTGTCTTGTTAATGGAGACGGAGTTTCACTATTTTGGCCAGGCTGGCCTCGAACTCCTGAGCTCGTGATCCTCGGTCTCCCAAAGCGGTGGGATTACAGGCGTGAGCCATCGCACCCGGCCCAATTTCAGAAGTGCAAATTTGATCATGTCACTCCCTGGCTTATTACTTTCTAGTAGTGCCCTTTACCTTTGGGATAACGCTACAATTCTCTGACTTGCCACGACCATTCCTCAATGGCCTTGGCTTATCTCTTCAGCTTCGCCCGCCAGTCCCCTCCATGCATTCACTTTCCTGCTCCAGCAGCTGCTTTTTTTTTTTTTTTTTTTGCCCTCCGCACGCTTTTCCTAAGCCTGGAGCTTTCCCCAAGCCTGGAGCTTTCCCCCTCAACTGTCTTGTTTTATCCACCTTATTCTTCACTCAGGATTAGGCTTAAATGACTTTCTCAGGGAAGTCTTTTTTGCCCTTCTAGACTAAGTACGCTGTTCGTGTATTTTTCCCCCCATAGCACCCTGTTTTTTTATCTCACCGCTTGCCACATTTTGTTGTAATAGTATAGTTGAAAAGGCAGTGTGGGGATGTTGTTAAGGGGATAGGTTATGGAACCCGATTGGCTGCATTTGATTGCAGTGCCCACTGTGACTTGGGGCAAGTTACTTGAGTTTCCTTACCTGTAAAATAGAAACAATGATAAAACCTCATAGTAGTTGTGAAGATGAAATGAGCTGATGTATCAGAAGTGCATTCTAAGTCCTCAATAATTTTTTTTTTTTTTTTGAGACAGAGTTTCACTCTGTCACCCCACGCTGGAGTGTAATGGTATGATCTGGGCTCACTGCAACCTCCACCTCCTGGTTTAAAGTGATTCTCCTGCCTCAGCATCGCGAGTAGCTGGGACTGCAGGTGCTTGCCTTCATGCTCGGCTAATTTTCGTATTTTTACTAGAGACGGGGTTTTACCATGTTGACCAGGCTGGTCAAATGTTCATTATTATTGCCGTTTTAAAGTTTTCCTTTGAATAGACTGACCTATGTGAGGATAGTGACTCGATGAATCTGTTATTTTAGCATAGTACATATAATATTGGAAAGGTTAAATAACTGATTTTCTGAATGCATTAAACCTTATGATTAAAACTATGTTTTTCTGAACAAAATGTAAAAACTCATTTTCTCTCTGCCAGTGTAAACAAATTACCTTTGTAGTTTTTAAATTGCAAGGAATAGGGGATAAAGAGCTGTTCATGGTAGTTAATGAAAGGAGAGGGACTAATTTTTTTTAAATGGCTACTAAATGCAATGTATTTATAGCTTTATTTATTGCATAAAACAGTTGTAAAAAGCAGGTATAATTATCCTTGTTTTATAGATGAGGAAATTAAGGCTGAAAGGGGTTAAGTAATTTCTCCACCCTTACAAAGATAGTGGATGGTAGGGCAGATGTTGAAAACTATGTATCCACCTGTTTATAAAAAATCCTGTTCTTTCACTTTACCACTTGATGGGGGAAAAATGCATTTAAGGAAAACTTTGCTAAAAATGTAACATTTATATTTTCCAGTAGGGCAAACCTAAAATGAAAAAAGATGCAGGAATCACTAAAGGAGTGGTGGATTTTCTGAGAAATTAGTTTGGTTACCATTACTAGAGTAGGTATTTTGTGTTCTTTTCATATATGCATTATTATTATTATTATTATTATTATTTGAGATGGAGTTTCACTCGTTGCCCAGGCTGGAGTGCAATGGTGCGATCTCAGCTCACCACAACGTCTGCCTCCCGGGTTCAAGCGATTCTTCTGCCTCAGCCTCCTGAGTAGCTGGGATTATAGGCATGTGCCACCATGCCTGGCTAATTTTGTATTTTTTTTTGTAGAGATGGGGTTTCTCCATGTTGTTCAGGCTGATCTTGAACTCCTGACCTCAGGTGATTTGCTCTCCTCGGCCTCCCAAAGTGCTGGGAGTACAGGCATGAGCCATAATGCCCGGCTGTATATTTATTATTTGAAAAGCCAAAGTATCCTTCTACTACCTGCTTTCCCCCACCCCAACATTGTAATCAGATATAATAGAGCCCCAGTTTATGGCTGCAGGGCTCATGTCTTTATTGTTTGTTGCTGTTTTTAAAGTAAAAGTTCTATATATTATTATTTGTTTAGTGTATCAGTCACTTGCATCAATACTTTGAGACATTCGTTTTAGCTGAGGTCTTATTTAAAATCAGACATTTTTTTTTAATCCACTAATTTCAGGTTTTATGTAGAAATCTATAATATGCACAAATGTGCCTTCATTGTTTTATCCAAAGTGGTAAGAAGGCTGTTACATTGACTTTTTTTAAGGCCTTGGTTTTTTTGTTTGTTTTGTTGTGTTTTTTGTTTTTTTTTTGAGACAGTCTCACTTTGTCGTCTAGGCTGGAGTGCAGTTGCGCAATCTCAGCTTACTGCAACTTCTGTTTCGCTGGTTCAAGTGGTTCTCCTGAGTAGCTGGGATTATAGGCAAGTGCCACTACGCCTGGCTAATTTTTGTATTTTTAGTACAGACAGGGCTTCACCATGTTGTCCAGGCTGCCCTCGAACTCCTGTCCTCGTGATCTACATGCCTCGGCCTCCCAAAGTGCTGGGATTACAGGTGTGAGCCACCATGCCCGTCAAGGCCTTGTTATTTTTTAAAATTTTTTGTTAACACAGCAGAACAGTTTCAGATAGTTTATTCATTATGTTATTTATGTCCACAGAAAATATATGTGAACTTCAAAAATTTGAGACAGGTCTCAGTTAATTTAGAAAGTTTATTTTGCCAAGATTGAGGAAGGGCCCGTGACACAGCCTCAGGAAGTCATGAGGACATGTGCCTGAGGTGGTCAGGGCACAGCTTGGTTTTATACATTTAGGGAGACATGAGACATCAATATATGTAAGAAGTACATTGGTTCAGCCTGGAAAGCGAGACAATTTGAAGGAAAGGCAGGAAGACTGGAACTGGTCAGGGAGCTTACTGGTCACAGATCGGTGTTACACAAATAATTACATTCTCCTGAGTTTCTGATTAGCCTTTCCAAAGGAGGCAGATGTTCATCTATCTCAGTGAGCAGAGGAGTGACTTTGAATTCCATGGAAAGCAGGTTTGCCCTAAGCAGCTTCCAGCTTGAGTTTTCCTTAGTGACCTTGGGTGCCCAAGATAGTTTCTTTTCACATATATGTCCTATGTTATTTCATTGATTGATTGCCAAGAAAGCCTTGTTGCTCTCTTGGGTGTTTGGACAAAGCTTTTGGTTGTATGCTAGAGTATGCTGTTCTAGTCTGCTCCTCCTTTCTTCTGATGAGCTTGCAGTGCTCTGGACATTTAGGAGTGTGGGTTACTTTGTGCTGTTTCTCTAACTTTTTCACCTAGGCTTCCCAAGGACAAAGGAGATTTAGTGCAAATCCCTAAAAGTATCGGAGAAAATGTTCATTATATATTAAAATGCACATAGTTCTGTAACATAACAATGATTATTTTAAGATTATGTGTTTTAACAGTAATAATTTGAAACTGCCTCTGTCTTGCTTTTCAATTTGGCAAGTAAAGTTGATGCTTTTGGAAGCTGCATCATGTTTACCTAGTTGTTGCCTGTGCCTTGGTGTAAAATTATCTCTTTGTGCTTGAATCATGAAACAATCGGGTATGAGATCCTCATCAAATTATTAGTAACTACTGTTTAAACAAATATATACTTCTGGCTTTTGTTCATTATTTATTCACTTAATGAGTCGTGATATATTTTCTCATTGTTTATTAGTGGCAGAATGAGAAATTTAGAAAAGAACATGTTTACAAAAGAAGCTTTAGCTTTGGCTTGGCGATATTTTTTACCTCCATACACCTTCCAGATCAGAGTTGGTGCTTTGTATCTGCTGTATGGATTATATAACACCCAACTGTGTCAACCGAAACAAAAGGTAATACTTAGTTATTTTTCCTTAGCAGAAATGTAAAACAAGTACCATATTTTTATAATAAATATCTGATTAAATATGATTTAAATAGAAATGACAGTATTTTAAAAATAAATAGTATGTTTGCGAAAAAAATTTAGTACAACTTTTTTTTTCCTGTTTGCAGATCAGAGTTGCCCTGAAGGATTGGGATGAAGTTTTGAAATTTCAGCAAGATTTAGTAAATGCACAGCATTTTGATGCGGCTTATATTTTTAGGAAGCTACGACTAGACAGAGCATTTCACTTTACAGCAATGCCCAAACTGGTATTTTGCCTAAAATAATTTGTCTTTTTCAAAATGTGGAATTATACTTTATTGTCCATAAAACCTCTCAATCTACAGAAAATGGAATGAGTATTGATAATGTTCAAGACTTGTAGCTCTTTTTAAATAAGAAAAGGTATTTTCTAATTTCTCCTTTTTTTTCTGCAAACAAAAATTTAGCTGTTGCTTTTAAATGCATTGTATCTGGATGCCACATATTAAGTGAATTGTTTTGAGAGGAAATTAGATTTGGCATCTGCATTTGCTCATGTCTCAGATGTCAGAGGAGGTTACTGAAAGAGGTACAAAATTATTAAAAATTCTTTGGTGAAAAGTTGAAACTTCTAATAAAGTGTTATTTTTTAAATCTTGTGACAATTGAGACACTAGGTTGGAGGAGCACTAGTTCTGGTTCTGCCATTAGTTGACAATTTCTACGTCTTATCTGAATTTGTAGGCATGTGGCATGGCATCTAAAAGGTTAGTTAAGAAGTCTAATAGTCTTTGGAACGAGAATATTTAACAAATGTACCCATACAGCTGCTTTTGTTTTATCTGTGTTTACCTATAGACAGTTTTTTTAGCGCTGGTGTATATTTCAGTACTTTAAAAAAAAACTGTTTAAAAGAAACTCATTTTAAATGGCATGTATTATTACATAGCTGTCATATCGGATGAAGAAAAAAATTCACCGCACTGAAGTTACAGAAGAATTTAAGGACCCAAGTGATCGTGTGATGAAACTTATCACTTCTGATGTGTTAGAGGTAAATTTGCTTTTGTGCTCTTGCAAGTTTTTAAAAATTGTTTTATTGCCAGCTACATATTGAGGTTATACCTTCATCTGTTGGATACTAACTTTTCTAATGATTTTAACCACTCTAGGATGCTATTTCTCTAGAATATCAGAAATAGCCTAAATATATCAAGAGTTACAAATCTTGAAATACTGTGAGAAAAAAAAAGTTGTAGAAGACTGGACTTAGACTGAGGATATGTGAATTCAGTTTTTAAAACCACCTTTTTTGTTTGACTTTAGTTAGGTCATAAAACATGAGTTTAAAGTGACTTTCCTTACTTTTTTAAAAAACAATATGCGTGGCGGGGTGCAGTGGCTCACGTCTATAATTTGGGACGCCAAGGCGGGTGGATCAAGAGTTTGACACCAGCCTGGCCAATATGGTGAAATCCCATCTCTACTAAAAATACAAAACTCAGCCAAGTGTGGTGGCAGGCACCTGTAATCCCAGCTACTCGGGAGGCTGAGGCAGGAGAATCGCTTGAACCCGGGAGATGGAGGTTGCAGTGAGCGTCACTGCACTTCAGCCTGGGCAACAGAGTGACACTCCGTCTCAAAAAAGAAAAAAAAATGCCATTATGCATTTATTTCCTAAGTTCCTGTTTTAACACTTATTTTAATATTCACCATTGAAAATAGCGAGTCTATTTTGATAATGTATTTTGGTGTTTTGTTTGAGTGTACATTATTGAGAAAAATCTTTTGCATGGATAAGTAGTGTTACATATCTTTTAAAACATGAGTAGAAAAGCATGGCTTTGAGGTTAAAACAGTATCTCAGTGCAGGGTTACAGGCTTCTAAATCAATGATATTTTGAAAGAACATATAGAGAGGAAAGGAGGGGGTAAGGGGACACCTTGGTCATGCTTTTAAATTTTCTTAAAGCCTAAATGTCCCCCTCACTAACATTAGGATTATAATCTTTATTTCATTCGGTTGTTGTGAGAATTGAAATGAGGTAATGCCTCAGCAGTGCTGAATTGTATATGACACACAGTAGACCCTTAATAAATGTTAATTCTTTTTTTCCTCGGCCCTATTCAGTCTTTTCCTGTATTACTGTTGAAAGAGGGATCAAATCTTAGATTTGCTCCGATGTTTGTTTATATGCCCCTATGTTTTTGTTTTTTGTTTTTTTTTTCCCTGATGCAGGATCTTTCTCTGTCACCCAGGCTGGAATGTAGTGGCATGATCTTTGCTCATAGCAACCTCTGCCTCCCAGGTTCAAGCAATTCTCGTGCCTCAGCCCCCTGGGATTACAGGTTTGCACCACCATGCCCAACTAATTTTTTATATTTTTAGTAGAGATAGGGTTTCACTGTGTTGGCCAGGCTCGTCTTGAACTCCTGGCCTCAAGTGATTCACCCACGTTGGCCTCCTAAATTGCTGTGTTTACAGGTGTAAGCCACTGCACCTGGTCACTCCCATGTTCTTTTTTTTTTTTTTTTTTTTTCACTCTTTACCCAGGCCAGAGTGCAATGGCACGGTCTCGGCTCATCACAACCTCCACCTCCTGGGTTCAGGCAATTCTCCTGCCTCAGGCTCCTGAGTTGCTGGGATTACAGGCGTGAGCCACCGCGCCCGGCCTCTTCCATGGTCTAATAGCATCAGCCTTCCTTTGAAACTTGAAGAAAGGAGGTGAGAATGAGTCTCACTATGTCGCCCAGGCTGGAGTGCAGTGGCACAATCTCAGCTCACTGCAACCTCTGCCTCCTGGGTTCAAGCAATTCTCCTGCCTCAGCTTCCCGAGTAGCTGGGATTACAGGTGCCCACCACCATGCCCTGCTAATTTTTTTGTATTTTTAGTAGAGATGGGGTTTCAACCGTGTTAGCTAGGATGGTCTTACTCTCCTGACCTCATGATTCTCCAGCCTTGGCCTCCCAAAGTATGGGGATTACAGGTGTGAGCCACCACACCTGGCCAAGAATGGATTTTTATAAATCTTTGTGTAGAGGAGAAATAGAAGGCAAACAGACCTGACTGCCCGAACTTTAAGACAGTGCCATGGGAACTGAGAGTTGAAAAAGTTTTAACTAGCAATTGTGGAGAATGGAAGAGAGATTTTGGGATACCAGAAAGAATTTGCTGAGAAATGCTAATGTGAATCATGAAGAGAGGCACGGGACATTTTCAAACAGCAAGGCATTATTCTTATCAATATTCTTTCCTTTCTCTCTCTTCCTCTCTCTCTCTCTCTCCCCCTCTCTCTCCCTCTCCCTCTCTCTCTCTCTCTCTCTCGCTCCCTCTCGCTATCTCTCGCTATCTCTCTCTTTCCCTCTCCCTCTTTTCCCTTCCTCTCACCCTCCCTCCTCTTCCTCTCTCCCTCCCTCCTTCCCTCCCTCTCTCTTTCTTTCTTTCTTTTTCTTCTTTCATTTTTTTTGAGATGGAGTCTAGCTCTGTTGCCCAGACTGGAATGCAGTGGTGTGATCTCAGCTCACTGCAACCTCTGCCCTCCTGGGCTTAGCGATTCTCCTGCCTCAGCCTCCTGAGTAGCTGGTATTACAGCTGCCCACCACCACACCCAGCTAATTTTTGTATTTTTAGTAGAGATGAGGTTTCGCTGTAGTGTTCAGGCTGGTCTCGAACTCCTGATCTCGTGATCCACCTGCCTCCCAAAGTGCTGGGATTATAGGTGTGAGCCACTGTATCCGGCCTATTTTTACCAATATTCTAATGAGAAAAGATTATTTGAACCTAGTTGGTTATAGTTTCTTTTTTTCCTTTTTTAATTTTTGAGGCAGGATCTTGCTTCATCACCCAGGTTGGAGTGCAGTGGTGCTGTCGTAGCTCACTGCACCCTCATCTCCTAGGCTTAAGTGATCCTCCCAGCTCAGCCTCCTGAGCAGCTGGGACTATAGGCATGCACCACCATGCTGGCTAATTTTTAAAAATTTCTTGTAGAGACAAGGTCTTGCTGTGTTGCCTAGGCTGGTCTTGAACTTCTGAGCTTGGGTGATCTCTCACCTTGGCCTCCCAAAGTGCTGAGATTAGGCATGAGCCACCATGCTTGGCCAATTATAATTTCTCACTGTTGACCTATTTGGTGGTAGAATGTAAATATTTTTTCAATATATCTTTTTCAACGTGCTTTTTCATTCTAAGCTCTTTTAAGCTGGGGGTGATGCACAGAAGTCTACTCTTTTAGAGTGAATAGAGAAGAATATCAGAAGGGTCAGGCTATGAAATGCCTATGCCTAGAAGCTTTTAGGAATGGAATAGTTTGTGAAGTTATCCTGGCTCTGTGTCGGATCTCTGGCTTGTGACATAATTACTTTGAGAGCTTTGTCCCTTGATACTGCTGGCTCTATTTCTCTTGTCCTAGCATAGCCTGGGATCCATTCTCACTGATAATTCTTAAATTTAATACTTTCTTATTTTCCTTCTACTGCCTGCAACTGCTATTAAGTCTTCATGTCAGGAGATCTGAATTCTGGTCATGATTCTGCCACTTGTTCTAGCTTTGTGGTTAAGGAGGCATAATTAAATGAAAAGAACAGGATACTGAATCAAAACATTTGTTTTCTAATTCTAGCTCTCTGCTATGTAAGTAGGACCTTGAGCAAGTTATTTCATTTCTGAGTCTATTATACAGTTAGAATAATTATGATGTTTATAATAATAGACATTATGTGTTGGGTACTCACCATATGCCTGGAACTATGCTAGATGTTTTATGTATGTTATCTCACTAATTGCCATAGTAACCCTGCAGAGGAGGTGATATTTTCCCAGTTTTTTTGTTTGGTTGTTTTTTTTTTTTGAGACAGAGTTTCACTCTTATTACCCAGGCTGGAGTACAGTGGCACGATCTCAGTTCACTGCAACTTCCACCTCCTGGGTTGGAGGGATTCTTCTGCCTCAGCCTCCCAAGTAGCTGAGATTACAGGCACCTGCCACCATGGCTGACTAATTTTTTGTATTTTTAGTAGAGACAGGGTTTCACCATTATTGGCCAGGCTGATCTCAAAAACTGGGGACCAGGCTGACCTCAGGTGATCCGCCCACCTTGGCCTCCCAGAGTGCTGGAATTATAGGCTTGAGCCACCATGCCTGGCCCCCAGTTTTAAACACAGGAAATAGGTTTAGAGAAGTTAAGTAGTTTGTATAAGGTGAGGTACAATAAGGTACAGACACTGAGTGTGAATGTCCGAGTCTGTAAAGCTTCAAAGTTCATGCACTTTCTTTTTTCAAATTATTACTGTTTTTAAGAGTAGAAGTCTTGCTATGTTGCCTGAGTTGGCCTTGAATTCCTGGGCTCAAGCCATCCTTATGCCTAAGCCTTCTGAGTAGCTGGGACTGCAGGTGCACGCTACTGTGTCTGGTTTCTTTAATTTTGTATACAGCATTACATTATACAGAATACTTTCTCGTGTATAAGCTTATTTAATACTTAATGGTGGTTTTGTTCATTTTGTAGAAATGTGAAATGTGATTCTTAGGTTGAGGGACTTGCCCATTGTCATACATTGAGCAAATGATGGAACTCAGGCTCAAAAACTAGATGTGACTGGTGGTCTTTCTCCTGTATTATATTGCATGGAGTGAAATACTGAGCATATATCCAATCTAAACTGTAAAGAGTTAGGAGCTCTTCATGTCTGGGCACTTTTTTCTCATTGCAGACCCTGCACATGGGAGCACTCACCACTACTGATCAGTTTCTCATTTCTTGAACAGGTGTTGATTCTACCAAAATCTGGAAATGAATTGAGTAGTCTGAGTTAGAGATGACTCAGATGTGGCAGTGTCCATCTACGATGGAAGTGTCAGTAGTTCTCTCCTGATCTGAGAGCCAAGTCCCTATGCCAGATTTTCTTAAGTCCACCTGTATTGTGCTGTCTTTTTCCTAACCCCATAGATCTGCACATTTGGCTGGAGATTTTTGGAGGAAGAAGATCTAATTTATACATAATGCCACAAATGGTGTTATAAATTACCCTTTATTTCTTTTCTTCTTCTTTTTTGTTTTTTTAACAATGAAGTCTTGCTCTGTTGCCTGTGCTGGAGTGCAGTGGTGGTCCAAACTCTGGTCACTGAAACCTCTGCTTCCCGGGTTCAAGCAATTCTTCTGCCTCAGCCTCCCAGGTAGCTGGGATTACAGGCGCCTACCTCCACGCCTGGCTAATTTTTGTATTTTAGTAGAGACGGGGTTTCACCATGTTGGCCAGGCTGATCTTGAACTCCTGACCTCGTGATCCACCTGCCTCAGCCTCCCAAAGTGCTGGGATTGTAGGCGTGAGCCACTGTGCCTGGCCTACCCTCTATTTCTTTGAATCCTGAGTCTTATTGCTGAAGTAATGGTGAAGCTTATAGGGCAGGCTTTGCGATTTCTGTGGAGGGTTGGATGAGAGTCGTTACATAGAAATTTCCAGCAAAGCATAAAGGACTATGTAAATATTCTTGATGTGACAATATATAAAGACATCTTAGTTATCAGTAGTGATATTTAATGATATATCATGGTACAAGTAATGTTTGTGATATCCTAGAATGGAATTGTATATTTACTGATTATTGTTTCTCCAGTGTTTTCCTATAAGTGTATTTTAATATTTGTTGAGTTTAAGTCAATAAATCCAAACCTCTGGAATCCATACCTCTGTATTAATAAAGTTGTACTATTTTGCTTGCATGATTATGTTATTTTCAATATATTGTAGCATGTTATTCCCTGTCAACTGGAAGTCACTTCAGAAGGTGACTATTTTGTATTGGTTTTGCCTTTTAGTTTCTCCTCAAAAAGTGAAATAAAGGGCTTATCTTTTTGCTTTTAGGAAATGCTGAATGTTCATGATCATTATCAGAACATGAAACATGTAATTTCAGTTGATAAGTCTAACCCAGATAAAGCCCTCAGCTTGATAAAGGATGATTTTTTGGACAATATTAAGAACATAGTTTTGGAGCATCAGCAGTGGCACAAAGACAGAAAGGTATGTAATCACTTGTTTGGTGCCTCACCATTGCGTTATACACGAATGTTTGTCCATAGATGATAATGTTGAGAGGCAGCCTAGGTTTAGAGGCTGTAATCCTGTGGACCTAAGATTTAGAGGGCTTGGCTCTTCATGTTCTACTTTTGCCACTTATTTGGTATGTGATGTTATTTAACCTTACAGATGGAGTGCATATATATGTGTGTGTATGTGTGTGTGTATGTGTGTGTATATATATATGTGTATGTGTGTGTGTGTGTGTATATATGTGTATATGTATGTATATGTGTGTGTGTATATATATATTTTAAATAGAAGAGTAATGTAACTTTGTTATACAATAGATTTATTACAGTCTTTATAATTTGGCATTTTCTAAGGGTTGCACATTATCAGTCTTTAGGCGAAATCCTGCACACAGATATGTTTTGTTTGGCTTAGTGTTGATTCTAACATTTTTTAAAAATTTTGAGTTAATTACCAACTTTTAAGCATTTTTAAACTTCACCTAAAATTCTAGCCATACAACTTCTCTTAAAATTCAGAAGGATTCCACTTAGCTGCATGACAGCAGACAGTGGGACCTGAGTGATGGCTTTTTCTATTGTGATAGGGCAGCTGTTTTTCTGTTTACACATTGTCTGCCTGGTGTGGTTTATCTTTTTGCAAGTCTCATCAACACAGATCGTCAACTTTGTTTATTTAATTAACGGTATTGATGCTAGAGTTACCCATATTTCACATTTGCCTTTGCAGCTAGAGAAACTTTTTTACCCCGGAAACCTAAAAGCTAGCCTAGTGAAATTTACTTTTGAAACAGTTATTCCATCTTACTTTAGTAAATACTTCCAGGAAAAAAATTTTTTAAAAGGAAGCAATTTCTGATTACTTACTGTGTGTCTTGATAATGTTTTGGTGTTTTCACAGATGCCACACAGGTGCTATCTATATATTGTCTTTCAGAAAGATTTCTTGCCACTTTTTCGCTTTCTGTTATATAAAGGAAGCCGGCTCAAAACTTAATTTTAGAAAAGATAAACAAGGAAACTGATAAGAAGATGATAGTCTTGGGAAAAAGAAAATAACTTTATTCCTCTGCATTTATTTTAATAAGAGATGCCAAGTTTTAGAAACAAATAGGTTATACAAATGAATTAGACATTTAATGTAAAAAAGTGTTAGTATTATTTGTATGCATATAGACAAGGCCTTGCTGTGTCACCCTGGCTGGAATACAGTGGCATAACTACAGGTCACTGTAGCCTTGACCTCCGCTGCTTAAGTGATCTACCCACCTCAGCCTCCTGAGTAGCTGGGTTTGCAGACATGTGCCACTGTGCCCAACTGATTTTCTTATTTTTTTGTAGAGAGAGGGTCTTGCTGTGTTCCCAGGGCTAGAACCAGCTTAACTTTAAATTTTTTTGTAGAGATGGGGTCTTGCTGTGTTGCCCAGGCTGATTTGGAACTCCTGGCCTCAAGCAATCATCCCACCTCAGCCTCCCAAAGCATTAGGATTACAGGATTAGCCACCATGCATAGCCAGTATTCTCTTTTAAAAGGTAAACTCTGTTCAAAGAGTATTACTAGGACCTCTGAAAACCTGAAGGAAAGGAAAACAAGCCAGTTTTCTTACTACCACATAAGGTTCACACTGTCTTTCATTAAGTTAGGAGGATTTAAGCAATTTAATGATGAATTGTAGAATATTTTGAAACCTGTGATCTTAATGTTAGGTTGTATATACTGTACTGCAATGACGTGAATGATCTTTTAGTTTTTCATTTATTAAAAGTAATGGATTCTCATTCTTCTAAAATTGATTTACAATTAAATTGAATTGTAAATTTGTGTGTGTGTGTGTATGTATCTTTTTTGCTCTTTCAGAATCCATCCTTAAAATCAAAAATTAATGATGGAGAAGAAAAAACAGAAGGAAATTCACAAGAAACAGAGGTCAGAAAACTTTGCAATTCATATTATGTGTGGCTGTGATTCTGTATACTAAGCATTGTGACCCATTATAAATATATAAGTATTATAAGAAATTTAAGAGAAAATTCTGAATCATGGTTCTGTGAAAAGCTAGTTTATTCTTTACTGGAAACCTTGTGGAGGCCACATCAGGTGTAGGTTGGGAGAGAAGATGATAATAGTTTTCTGCAGGGAAAGGAAAGGTTGACTCTGGAAGGTGCCCTCAGTTTGTAGATGGTTGGGATAAGGCCTTTGTAATATACTTTTTCTCACTTCTTGTCAGCCTTTCAACCAATGTGGAGCCCAAGCTCTTATACTATATACTGCTTCCTGCCTCCAGAGGTTTCATCCATCTTAGTGGATGAATCAAGTAGCCATCTCTGAGTATAGGCAGATGAGAAGGGAATGGCAGTCCAAGGCTCTGCCTGATCACCCAGACTTTCATTCTTACTGTCCTCCTTGAATCCTTAATGAAAATGATCTGTAGCTATGGGTATGGCACCTGCTACATCTGTGACAGAATGTGATATATGTCTATGTGTGTGTACTCAATATATACCCAATATTTGTTAGTTTCATTTAGCCTACCCTCTAATTTCTGATAATAAATACTTGGGTATTCTGTCTTATTTCTGAAAATAAATACTTGGGTATTCAATTTTTCACCTGTTTGTGTGTTTAACTTATTTTCTTCTTGTTTATTTTAGTTCCAGAGATGTGAAAGGGCTGAATCATTAGCGAAAATAAAATCAAAGGCCTTTTCAGTTGTCATTCAGGTAAGTTATTTCTTTAATAAAGTAATTTGGAAATTGACTGACTGCTTTTTAAATTACATTTCAGTTTTTCGTCAAAGTAGTAATATATGTACTTAGTTTTAAAAGTCAGATAATACTAGAGAGATTATGTAGCACAACAGTTCTTTTCTCTGCCACTTTCCACCCTTGTATTCCTTAACCTTGAGAGGCAACATCTTTGACTTTTTCTCTTTTAGCAATTTCTTCTGATATTTACCTGGAATTTTGATGCCATTTTCTTTATTGTCTTTCAGCTTCTTGTATTACTGATTTTGGAAGGTTTTCGTGTTTTGCTTTGCCCTGGAGTTCTGAAATTTCATTTACTACATATAATGTAACTTGGTATACATCTTTTTTGTTTATTGTCCTTGGCCCTCATGGTGCCCTCCTTTCAATCTGATATCCTTCAGTTCTGAAGAAGTTTTTGTATTGTTTCTTTGATACAAATGTTCTTTGCTGCATCTTTTCTCTTCTTGAACTTTTCTTATTTTTCCTCTTCTATTTTCAGTCTCTGTCTTGGTTTCTATTTTCAGGGAGATTTTATAGGCTTTATCTTCTGAACCATTATATTGATTTTTAAAAATGTATCCTGATTTTTTTTTCATTACTAAAAATTCTTCTTGTTCTCTGAATGTTTCTTTTTAATTTTTTAATGTATTTTTTCGCAGGATGCAATAACTTTTTCTGTTTAAGGATATTAACTACAGTTTTTTGGTGGTTTCTCCCATTTCCTTTATTTTTTTTCTATTTGTTTGAACTCTGTCTTTCATTTTGTTGGCTTTTTAAAACTGATTGAAGATCCTCAGATGTCTGTTCATATTTAAGAGAGGTCAAGAGGAGGAGTTAAAGCTTATTTAACCTCTAGATTTCTTTTTCTTGGATCTAGTTATTTAGAGAGCAATCTTCCATTCCCTTGTCTACGGGAGGATGGTGGGAAATAAGCCCGGCTGCCAGTGTTTTGAGAGCCTACAGAGAGAATCAGCCGGGAGGCTCACCATTCCTTATTCAGGTTTCACTCAGCCCCTCTATTTTCAGTAAGAGGCCTCACATACTTTCTCAGCTACACCAGTTTCCTTTGAGTCTACAGCCTTTCTCAGTTAGCCTCCTCAGAGAGCAGGCCTCCTGTTTTGTATAGGAGAAGGTCAGCTGCCTGGCTTTGAGGCTAAGGCATGAGACACTATTCTTACAGATTTTCAATGCACCTGCCTGTTTTTTTTAGTCCCACCTCAGCCTTCCAAAATGCCAGGATTACAGATGTGAGCCACTGCGTTCGTCCCTTTGCCCATTTTTTTTTTTTTTTTTTTTTGAGACGGAGTTTTGCTCTTGTTACCCAGGCTGGAGTGCAATGGCGCGACCTCGGCTCACCGCAACCTCCGCCTCCTGGGTTCAGGCAATTCTCCTGCCTCAGCCTCCTGAGTAGCTGGGATTACAGGCACGTACCACCATGCCCAGCTAATTTTTGTATTTTCAGTAGAGACGGGGTTTCACCATGTTGACCAGGATGGTCTCTATCTCTTGACCTCGTGATCCACCCGCCTCGGCCTCCCAAAGTGCTGGGATTACAGACGTGAGCCACCGCGCCCAGCCTTTGCCCATTTTTTAATGGGGCTGTTTTTGTTTCTTGAATTGTTTAATTTTCTTATAAATTCTGAATATTAGACCTTTATTGAATGCAAAGTTTGTCACTATTTTCTCCCATTATGTAGGTTATCTGTTTTACTCTGTTGTTTCCTTTGTTGTACAGAAGCTCTGTAGTTTAATTAGGTCCCACTTGTCAGTTTTTATTTTTGTTGCAATTGCTTTTGTGGACAGTGATAAATTCTTTGCCAAAGCCAGTGTCTAGAATGGTATGTCCTAGGTTTTCTCCTAGGCTGTTTCTTATCTTTGGTCTAACATTTAGGCCATTAATTCGTCTTGATTTTTGCATATGGTCAAAGGAAGGGGTCCAGTTTCAATCTTCTGGATATGGCTAGCCAGTTATCCCAGCACCATGTATTAAATAGAGAGTCCTTTCCCCATTGTTTTTTATTGTCGACTTTGTTAGAGATCAGGTGGTTTGTAGGTGTGTGGCTTTATTTCTGAGTTCTCTGTCTGTTACATTGGTCAATGTGTCTGTTTTTGTACCAGTACCATGCTGTTTAGGTTACTAAACTGTATCTGTGGTTTCTGCATCCATGGATTCAACCAATTGTGGATTGAAAGTATTTGAAAAAAAAATTGCATCTGTACCAAATATATATATAGACTTTTTTCCTTGTCATTATTCCCTGAACAATATGACAATCATTTACATATCATTAGGTATTATAAGTAATCTAGAGATGATTGAAAGTATTTGCATAGGTTATATGCAAATACTACACAATTTTATGTCAGGAATTTGAGCATCTCTGGATTTTGGTATCTGAAGGAGGTCCTGGAACTAATCCTCCATGGATACTGAGAGACATGATTGCTTTTTAAGACTTGTTAATACCTGTATTGCATATACAACATTAACTGAAAATTCTTTGTTTAAGCAAGTAAGGGAATTCACCTACTGATGTAACAGAACAAATCATTAGCCAGGATTGGCTAAGGATATCTGTGTCTCAGACAAATATAAGACTGGCCCTCCGTTTTCACTGCTGTCAAGTGCTGTTTTCCTGACAGCTCCAGCCTTGCATGTTCCCAGCTTTAGGTTCAAAGACAAGAAAGAATTTTTCCTTCCTAACAGTTAAACAGTTCCAAAGTAGCATTTAGTTAGCCATGATACAGACCACATATCCCACCTGCTAGCCTCCCCACTCCCAACAAATTACCCTGGTCATGGGGATATTAAACTTGTTGTGGCCAGATCTGAGCTACATGGCCATACCTGGAGCCAAACATGAAGTATTTATCCTCAGAACACACGGTAATGCCTAAGGGAAATACATTTATTAGAAGGTGCCTCTACACCTCTGTTGCCCAACCATGCCAGATAATAGAACCAACTTTGTTTTAACCCCATGTGAGTAGATGGTGATGACAGCTGCAGGAAACTTCATGTTATAAAGATAAAAGACTACTTACATGACACGGGTAGTTATAGTAAGCCAGGGTAATAATGAAGTGCTTTATGATAGATATTTCTATAAATCTTTCCTCATCTTTGATTGTATGTTTTGTCTTTCTCTGAATTACCTATCATTTGGATTCATTTTATAATTTATTCGTTAATTGGATTCTGACTTTTAAGGCATCCAAATCGAGAAGGCATCGTCAAGTCAAACTTGATTCTTCTGACTCTGATTCTGCATCTGGTCAAGGACAAGTCAAAGCAACCAAGAAAAAAGAGAAGAAAGAAAGATTGAAACCAGCAGGAAGGAAAATGTCTTTCAGAACCAAAGGTAACTTTTTAAATCTTACTAAGATTCAACAAAGGAGAATGGGTTTTATTTACAACTTTGCCTCACCTCTGTTTCCTTGTTAAGGATTAGCTGCTTGTTTGAGAACATTTTTGTGAGATTTGATATTAAAAATAAATTATCTTAGATTCTTAGAATCTTACTGCCTAAAAGGGACCCTAGGAATCATATCAGTTGTATCATTTTATAGATGATGAAATTTAGGCCTGGCCGGGTGGTGGCTCATGCCTGTAGTCCCAGCACTTTGGGAGGTCTAGGTGGGTGGATCACTTGAGGTCAGGAGTTTGAAACCAGCCTGGCCAACATGGTGAAGCCCTCTCTCTACTAAAAACATAAAAGTTAGGCTGGGTGCAGTGGCTCACATCTGTAATCCCAGCACTTTGGGAGGTCTAGGTGGGCAGATCACTTGAGGTCAGGAATTTGCAACCAGCCTGGCCAACATGGTGAAGCCCCCCCTCTACTAAAAATATAAAAGTTAGGCTGGGTGCTGTGGCTCACATCTGTAATCCCAGCACTTTGGGAGGTCTAGGTGGGCAGATCACTTGAGGTCAGGAGTTTGCAACCAGCCTGGCCACAACATGGTAAAGCCCCATCTCTACTAAAAATATAAAAGTTAGGCTGGGTGCAGTGGCTCACACCTGTAATCCCAGCACTTTGGGAGGTCTAGGTGGGCGGATCACTTGAGGTCAGGAGTTTGCAACCAGCCTGGTCAACATGGTGAAGCCCCATGGTATCTACTAAAAATATAAAAGTTAGGCTGTGTGCAATGGCTCACATCTGTAATCCCAGCACTTTGTGAGGCTGAGGCAGGCAGATCACCTGAGGTTGGGAGTTTGAGACCAGCCTGAGCAACATGGAGAAACCATGTGTCTACTAAAAATACAAAATTAGCCGGGCGTGGTGGTGCATGCCTGTAATCCCAGCTACTCGGGAGGCTGGAGAATTGCTTGAGCCCCAGAGGCGGAGGTTGTACTGAGTCAAGATTGTACCGTTGCACTCCAGCCTGAGCAACAAGGGCAAAACTCTGTCTCAAAAAAAAATAGTTATCTGGGCATGGTAGCATATGGCTGTAATCTCAGTGACTTGGGAGGCTGAGGCATGAGAATCACTTAAACCCAGAAGGCGGAGGTTGCAGTGCGCTGAGATTGTATCACTTCACTCCAGTGTAGGTGACAGAGTGAGACTATCTCAAAAAAAAAAAAAAAAAATTTAGGCAGATACAGATTAAATAAGTTGTCTAAAATGATATATTAATAGCTAGTTGTGAAATCAGTCTAGAATTATCTGGTGCATATTTTATTAGTAATTTTTGTGTGTGATTATGTGTAGAATAAGATGTAAGTAATGCATTCTATAAACCATGTTTATTTTTAGCTGTATTAAGGTGTCCTTGCTTTTCCTTTGACACAGTATATCTGTAAAATTACCTTTCTTAAGGAAAGGACTTTTGTGTATATTTCAATAGTTTGGTTTTTTAAAAAATTGTATGAAAAATGTATATGCACCCTACATAAATTTGGAATTTGATTAACAGGCTTACTTAGGGTAAGAAAAAAAGGAACATTAAAAATATTAGTAAGTATGTAAAGACTAATACAGAATTCACTCCTAACTACTGCAGGAGTATATGAAGATAAGTTAACAGCCTTTTAGCATGTTTTTCCCCTATTTTGAAGCAGTGGAAGGAGAATTGAAGTTAAATACCTTTACTATGTCCTAGATATGATTAAGTGCTATAACAGTAGCTTGAAGTGCACTAAGAATTCAGAGGAGATACCATGTTTGTTAAGTATGATCAAGTAATAATTCAAAAAGAGATTTTTCTACTTCCTTTCACAATGCTAGTGGATATTGTGAAGAAAATTGTTAGACTAAACTCACTTATAAATATTACTGACAAAATCCTAAGTCACATATATCAAAAATAATCCTAGACAAAAAAACACCTTGACCAAGTACACATATTTCAGGATGCATTCAGAATCTGCTAATATGATTTACCATATAAATAGGTTAAAGGGGAAAATGTGAATTTATTTAAATAGTTACCAAAGAATATATTTGATAATATCCAGCATCCATTCTTGATTAAAAAAAAAAAAAATCCGGCCGGGCACTGTAGCTCATGCCTGTAAACCCGCATTTTGGGAGGCCAAGGCGGGCAGATCACCTGAGGTCAGGAGTTCGTGACCAGCCTGGCCAACACAATGAAACCCCATCTCTACTGAAAATACAAAAATTATCCGGACATGGTCGCGGGTGCCTGTAATCCCAGCTACTTGGGAGACTGAGGTGGAGGTGGGGGTTGCAATGAGCTGAGATCGCGCCATTGTACTCCAGCCCGGGGAACAAGAGCGAGACTTCTTCTAAAAAAAAAAAAAAAAATCCTCTGGATAAAGGAGTCAGCAAACGGTGTCTGTAAAGGGCCAGGTAGTAAATATGTTAGGTTTTGTGGGCCATGTTTCTGTCACAACTACTCAACTTTACCACTGTAATGTGAAAGGAGCCACAGACAGTATCATCACATGAATCGTTGTTGTAGTCCAGTAAAACTGTATAAAAGCAGGTGGTGGGTCCAATTTGGTCCAGGGGTCATAGTTTGTTAACTCTTGCCCTAGATAAAATAGAAGATTATTTCTTTAATCTTACAAATGTGTGTGTGCACACATATATTAGATCACAAGTTGCCTCATGCTCAATGGTAATATGCATGAATATCACAGTTTTACTTAATGTTGATCTTAAAGAGGTAATCAGTGTAATTAGACAGGAGAGTAAAGAGAGATATGATATCAGAAATAGAGGCTAGAAAATTATCATGATTTGTGAATGATTTTATGCCTAAAAATATTCTAAAAAGAATTTGATGAAAAATAGGAACAAAAATTTAGGGAGGTAAGGGTTACCACCGTAGACCTTACAAAGATTAAAAGGTGACTAAGGCAAAGTTATAATTTTATGCCAATAAGTTAGACAGCTTAAATAAAATGGATTAATTTACCAAGAGACACAAGTTTCCAAAACTGACACAAGAAGAAATATAAAATCTGTGTAGTCTTATGTCTACCGAGACCTCGAAATATCTGAGACAGGTCTCAGTCAATTTAGAAAGTTTATGTTGCCAAGGTTAAGGACGTGCCTGTGACACAACCTCAGGAAGTCCTAAGACATGTGCCCAAGGTGGTCAGGGGTACAGTTTGCTTTTATACATTTTAGGGAGACCTGACACATCAATCAATATGTGTAAGTTGCACATAGGTTTGGTCCGATAAGGCATCAAGTGGGGGCTTCCAGGTTAGAATTAGATTAGACAGAAAGTTTTTTGAGTCTTTGATGGTCTTCTACTGAATATCACAATTTACTCCGGCTCAATGAATCTGCATTTTCACATAAACAGTAGGGGAGAGGAAGCAATCAGATATGCATTTGTCTTAGGTGAGCCTCAGAGGGATGACATTGAATAGAATGGGAGTTTGCCCTAAGCAGTTCTCAGCTTGACTTTTCTTTCCCTTTAGCTTAGTGATTTTGAGGTCCCAAGATTTATTTTCCTTTCACACTGCTAAAGAAATTAAATTCCTAGGCTTCTCTGGAAATTTTAGCAAACGTTTAAGAAAGGAATGATACAAATTCTTTCAGAAAATACAAGAGGGAACACTTTCCAGCTTATTGACGTTGCAAGAAAAAACTAAAGACCAATATCCTTATCTCCTACAAAATTCAAAATGGATTATGGACCTAAATTTGAAACCTAAAATTATGAAACTTGTGAAAAAATATGTAGGAGAAAAATGTGTTCTTGGATTGGGCAAGATTTTTAAATACATGACATTAAAAAACACAATCAAATTATGAAACAAAACAATTGATAAATTGTCATTCCCAAGGTTACAATTTTTGTCTTTGGAGGATACTGTTAAGAAGATGAGAAGATAAGCCACAGACTCGAAGAAAATGTTTGCAAACTACTACCCTGATAAAGGTCTTGTATCCAAAATAGTAATATTTAAAGAAATCTAACCCAGTAAATACACAGACCACCCAGTGAAGAAGTAGGTAAAACACTCTATCAAAGAAAATATATGGATGGTAAATAACCATATAAAAAGATGCTGAGCATCTTTAGTTATTAGAGAAATGTAAATTAAAACCCCAATGACATTCTGCTAAACCTTGACCAGCAACAACAACAAAAAGACCCCACAAAACAAAACAAAAATTGTAATAACAAAAGCTGTTGAGGATTTGCAACAAGGGGAACCTGCGTACTCTTCTGGTGTGAATCCAGAGTGATGTAGTTACTTTGGAAAACTGGTAGTTTTTAAAAGGTAAACATGTACTTACCATTTGACCCAGAAATACTATTCCTTGGTATTTACACAAGAGAAATGAACACTTAATGTTCACACAGAAATGTGCATGCAAAAGTTTATATGGCTTTATTCATAATCACAAGAACTGCAAACTGCCTAAAAATCCTTCCAATGCTGATTGGATAAACTGTGGCTTATCAAGATGCAACTCAGCAATGAAAGAGCTACCATACACGTAACAACATGGATGAATCTGAATTCAGTGTGCTATGTGAAGGAAGAAAGATACAAAAGGCTACATAGTATATGATTCTATTTATATGACATTCTGGAAAAGGCAAATCTATAGGGACAGAAAAATGTGGTTCCTAGGGACTTAGGGGTGAAGGAAGGTGTTGAATACACAGGAGCACTGAGAAACTTTTGGAGTGATGGAAAAATCTGTCTTTTCTTTTCTCTTTCTTGCTTTCTTTTCTTTCTTTTCTTTTCTTTTTTTTTCTTTTCTCTTCATTCTTCTTTCTTTTTCTTTCTTCTTTCTTTTTTTTTTTTTTTGAGACGGAGTTTTGCTCTTGTTGCCTAGGCTGGAGTTCAATGGCATGATCTTGGCTCACCACAACCCCTGCCTCCCAGGTTCAAGCAGATCTCCTGCCTCACCCTCCTGAGTAGCTGGGG